ATCTATCTATCTATCTATCTATCTATCTATCTATCTATCTATCTATCTATCTATCTCTCGTCTATATCATCTATCTATCTATCTATCTATCTATCTATCTATCTATCTATCTATCTATCTATCTATCTATCTATCATCTATCTAACTATCTTCCATTAAAACAGTAAATGAATAAGACAATCCTTATGTCAGGATTCCGGCAGTTCCCCCCAATTAAATCATGAGTCTTAAGCCAAATTTCCAAAACTTCAAAAAGGATTTATTGGGAGTTAAAATGTCCGGCACTGCCTGGGTGTAGCCAACTCTGAGGCACATGATTCATTGTCCCCCTTGACCCTGGTTTTCCTCCCCACCCCCTGGGTGTATTGCAATTCCTATTCTCCAATGGGACACGTCCATAGCCCAGAGTCATCCATCATGCTCTCCAGTTAGAATTTTGCCCGGCAGAAACTTCAGTCACCTAGTTACTATCTTTAAAAACATTTATGGAATGCACTTTCGGTTTGCAAGCTGCTGCACTGCTCCCCCCCTCCTCCCTTTCTGTTGGCAACTCTAAAAAGACCAGAGAAATATTTTATGAGTTGATACCTTACCTAAAACATTATATAATCATTATTAAAAAAAATAAAGTCTTAAAAGCAAAGCTAAACCAGGAAAAGAGAATAAGAGAGGCAAGGAACATCCTTAAACTGCAATTGAACAAGAGAAGAAGGAAGCTGACCTGGTTGGGCGGACGTCCTTCTGCTAATCGTCTCCCCCTTCTCTCCCGAACAGATCCGTTCCACCCAGCGTGTCTCGGTCTGGCCCGTAGGCCTGGTGGGAGGCCTCCGTTTCGAGCGGCCGCTGGTGGAAAACGGCAGAGTGGTGGGTTTCTACACGGCTTGGAAGCCCAACCGTCCCTTCCCCATCGACATGGCTGGCTTCGCCGTGGCCCTGTCGCTGCTGCTGGCGAACCCGGAGGCTCGCTTCGACTTGCTGGCCGAGCGCGGTTACTTGGAGAGCAGCCTCTTGCAGTCGCTGGTCTCGATGGAAGAGCTGGAGCCGAAGGCGGACAACTGCACCAAGGTTAGAAGGAGAGGCTTTCTGCCCAAGCCCACTCCGCAGGGAGAGCCCCGATTCGCTTAGGGACCGTGAGGTTCGCTGAACAGCCCAGAAAAAGGTCCTAAAAATCAGGCCTTGACTCACCGCATGGCTGGCGGGAGAGGAATATTTGTAGCTCAGGGTTGAAAGGAGGGGGACCTTGGGGGCGCTCTGAACTGGGTGGGTGCCTTAACAGACGTTTTGTGACCTAGCTAGGTCACCTCATCAGGGCCAGAATGGAGTGGAGTTTGTGGAGTGGAGGAGGATGAGAAGGGGACAAGGAGAGGGAGGAGGAGAACAACAACAACTGTGGAGGCCTTGATGCTCCCTGAGCCTTTGTTGCAGACATTTCATGACCTAATCAAGTCAGTGCAAGCAGGAAGAGGGATTTGCTCAGTGTTTATATCCCAGTAGCTTGCTTGCAGAGAGCAAACCTCTCTCACTCTGATGAGGTTCCCTAGCTGGGTCATGAAACGTCTGCAAGAAAACCAGCGAGAGAGCACCAGGGACTCCACAGTCGTTGTCCTCCTCCTCCTCCTCCTGTTCCCACCACCCCGCTTTGCCACTCCACACAATCCTCCCTCCCTTCTAACACTGATGATGTTACCTAGTTTGGTAATGAAAGGCCTGGAAGAAAAGATGCAAGCTCAGAGAGTAGCAAGGACTCCTCCTCCTCCTTCTCCTCCTCCTCTCCACAATCCCTATTCCCTTCCCTTCTAGCACTGATGAGGTTCCCTAGTTGGATCATGAAACGTCTGCAAGAAAACCACCCAGCTCAGAGACCACCAAGGACCCCACAGTCCTCCTCCTTTTCCTTCTCCTCTTCCTCCCTCCTCCCCCCTCCTTCTCCCCCTGTCCACAACC